CTATATTATAGTTCATTCGAGTGGCTTTGGGGCTGGACTACGCAACTGTCTCTTTTTATCAGTTACGCTAAAGCGATCGAACTACTTATTATATGCTATTTTTACCTAGATGTGGCATCAAAGATGATGCATTGGAGTTCTGTAGCCGGAAGGAGGTGCAAATTTGTCGAATTTTTGTTCTGTAATTTTTATTCTTCTAGGTACTACTAGTTGATATATGTTCAGGTTATGCTTTTCGGCGCTTTTTCTTATGTTCACTTATTTTACGATGTTTTTGGTTGTTGGTCTCGTATTTTCAATAGAGCCATGGAAAGATTGTCACGGTATTATTTTATAAGCGGTACTAAACAGCATATCATCATTTTCGAAAAACTGCATCATACAAATAGGGAATGCGGTTTGAATGTTTCAAATTTTCACCACATGGTTAATTTGATTTCAGCTCCATATTGGCTATGGTTCTCTACTGGAGAATTTGTTATGGTACAGCTTATGGTTGGCTCATTTTTCTTGATCTTGCATCGAATGAGCAGGATATCTGCTGCTCCCAATATACGCGATAGTCAACGTCATCAGCTGTTTAGGTCTCTCTAGTTATCATATACACATCCTATCTTTTTTGTTTACGTTAATCGGTCTACTTTAGCCTTTTTTGGACATTCGAAACATCGGCGTTAGCTGATTTGGGCTATCATATGAGTTTGTTTTATCTCGCTGATGATAGAAAAGGTTGTAGTGGTGTCTTTGTAAGTTTCATTGCTCATTTTTTTTACAATATAGTCATGTCAATAGAATCATTTTCGCACATTTTTGACAACCTTTTTTGAGTTCTATTGAGTTTTAGAATCATGATCAATTGCGCTATTCCTTGCTGAAATTTCCCTATGACATTGTTTCTTTTCTATTGCCAGTGTGGGCAATCCTATATGTGTTTCGAACAACAAGGAAACCTAATATATACAATGACGATTCTACAGAAGTATGATTTATCCTCGTGGTTATCACTCATGTTTAAGAGCTTTCAAATCCTTTTTAAGTCAATTTATGCATCACGAGGGTCATCAATCGGATCAATTGCCGATGTTGTGGTAGTTAGGAACTGGCGTCGACGTTATCGTCCGCTCACACAGGTAGGTTCCAATTATGTTTGAGTAACTTACACATTGTTTTTTGTTTAGCTGAAATAGTTGGACCTTGCTAGAGATATTGTTTTCTAATATATATTGA